GGATCATATAAACAGGACCAATACACAACTATACAATTCTATTGTAAGTTAAACAAGCAAAAATACAAATTAATGCAAATTAAAATTTCCAATTTAACAAAACCCAAGCCTCCAGGTTGGCAGGGCTGCCAGATAGTGATGTGGAGATGGGTTTGCTGCCCCACCATCTCTCTTCTCCTTACTTGCTGACACAGACAGCATTCAGGTTTTTCCAGGGTCTTGGGAGGAGGGCCTGTGGCGTCTCTCCTTAAACAAGGAGCAAACACAGTTTCTTCACGGTGTGGAGATAGAAGCATAATTGTTAGGAATCCAGGCATGGCCATACCTTCATTAAACAGCATTTGAGCTAATGGCTTGGCATGGCTGGGAAATCGTTCCTCATTACCTAGCGATGTTTTGAATGGAGAGAATTATCACTTGGGGGCAGGTGTTTGTGTTTGATGGAACAATCATACTCCCACTCTAGGGTGGGGGCAAGTTTGCCATACCCTAGCTCCCACACAAAAGAAGACTCAGGTTGGGTTTTCTTCTTCCCCAGCTGTGGTGAACTGTGGCGATGACCCAGCTTATAAACCAGCTCCTCCCCAAACTGAATGAATGAATGACTCAATCAATCAATCAATCAATCAATCAATTTATTACGGTCACATACCAGAAATTCCTCCCTAAACTGCCCCAAACTGTGTGGTACACACCCTTCCTGCCTTTGTAAAGTGTGAACTTTGCTAGATGCTTGTTGAAGGGACTGAGTAGGAGTTCTTGGTAGAGCACCTAATTGGCCTGGGATTTGGCCTCTTTTTCACCTACTTTACTCTCCTGGGAATTCCTTGTTTGGAGTGGAGTTCCTTATTTAGTTTAATCTGGCCTGTAGTCTAGGCAGCAAAGTGGAATTAAGATCTGTTGAGTAAATTCCTGAGGTATTATGCAAGGCATTATGGTTAAATGCACTCCTTGGTCAACCTCCATTGCAATTGCTTTGTGGGTTATTGCGGGTGTCATGTAGCATGTGTACTAGGGAGAACGTCAAACCAGTGGGCTGTGATACATTGTTTGGCTCAAAAACCCAAGGCCCTGGTAGCAAGGAGGAAGTGTTACTTCACTATTTGCTGTGGGGTCATAGCTTGTACCTGATGATATGCCCAGGAGCAAGAAGGGATATGATCTCTCCATCAATGAGGAACTTTCCTGCTTGGATTATTTGATTTGGTTGATCAGTTCAATTTTCTATTTGGTTATTGCAGATCCTCTTATTGTTATTTTCATATTTTAATAAATATAACATTCCCGCACTTTAGTATTGTACCCTGAGTCTTCTTTTGGGGTATGATGGCAATAGGAGCATTTTTGGAACAGAAGATGGGGAATGGGAAACACAGGACAGAGAAGCAGAAACTCACCTTTGAGCTCTAGAAGCTCATTTGCGTTGCAAGTGTCTCTGGTGATCTGAAATGAAATGCTGCCCTGCTAGAAGGATGAAAGCTGTCTACCTCCAGCTATGTTCTATTTGCTTATTTCCACACATACATTTTTTAAAAGTTTTTAATTTTTTACAAAAAGCCGTAAGTTTTCAGTGGTCTCATCTCCCAAACTCAGGTAAGTGCTTCCACTTGGAATCTCTAACCATGTGAGGAAGTAGGGAGCATATAACAATATAAACCATCTCTATTTTATTTGTTTTTTATTAGCAAGCTTGGGAAGAATGTAGGCTCATGTTCACCTTAGCTTTCTATCTCCTAGTTGTGCAGTATTGCGGTTATGGTTAACATTATGGTCCATAGCCACTCAGATATCATTTGTACCATCTGGTTATTTGATGTACGTCCTAGGGATATGGCACAAGACTCCACTTCTGGCTCCTCATCCCCAATTCAAAACAAATCTACACATTATGTGGTACAGGGGTTGCCAGCCTTTTTGAACCAATGGGTACATTTCAAATGTTGAGAGTGCTGGAGGCACTGGTCAATAAACAACTGTTATGGCATAAGACAAAATGGCTGCCATGGGGAGCGTAGCCAGAAACAGCAAAAGAGATATGGCTACCCCCAACAAAGTTATGCTTATTATGGAAAATCAGCTACTGCATGTTGTGTTGGTTTTGATTCTGGAAATCACACAATATTGGTTTTACACACACACACACACACACACACACACACACTGATCCCATTGCTGTCTAATGGCAACAGGGGACATTCTTCAGTAGGAAAAAATATATATACAATGTAGCCACACCACACTCACTGTACATTTTGTCGTATAACTTTCATTTTTGGAGGGCTACAGAGTTGCTTTTTCAAGAAATAAAGTATGAAAGCTCAGAGACAGCAGTGAAACCCTTCAAAAGCATCATGGCTCCTGCACATTCCAGGATGGAATCTCTGATCTTCTGATTCATATTAGTTCAAAAGGTCATACCACTATAGTCTAATTAAACAGGAAAGGGGGCACATTTTCATTGTCAACAACAGCTCCCAGGAATCCGATGGAGAGCAGTAATTTTACTCTCAGGGCTCTAGAGGACAACAAGTGGAGCAGAAGAGCCATTTCAGAGACAATCTCCCTGGGTTCATAGATGAATATAAAGCCTTCTGCTTCATTCAGCTGCCGGTGCTCTTGGAAGTCTGTGGGATTGCCTCTTTCCTCATTGAGGTAGGTTTTACCAGCATCCATTGCCCATATTTGGGTGTGGGACATCTTATATCAATTGAGGCATTCAACCTAACATCCATTGGGCTCTATTTATAGCATGGTGTGTTGAGAAAGAATGCCACTGTGCAGTGGTCCTATCTGTTTCTGAAGTAGCTGCAGCTAGATGTGTCCACGAACAGCAAGATTTAGTTTGGATCCCAGTTCAGAACTGTGGGAAAACAACAGACCTCAGTCTGAAGTAGTTTGTAGAGTTGGTGAATCAGTCAGAAAAAACATACCTTTTAATTATTATTTTAGGGTAGGAATGGATGAGATTTGCAGGAAAAGTCATCTGCTAAAGAGGGCACAGAACCTGTCAAATTTTAGAACAGCTGCTGTGGTTTTCCCTGCAGCTTTACAGTTTGGAGGTGGGTAAAAAATAATCAACCTCACCTGGGGTTTTATGAGTAGTTGGTCTGAAAATTACAAACATGTCTAATCTTCTTTTTTTGTGAACCGTCCTGAGACCTCTGTGTATAGGGCAGTATATAAATTCAATGAACGAACGAACAAATGAATGAATCTCCCACTGAAATTGCCTTTGAAATCCTCAAAGGCAGTCACTGTCCTGAATCTCTTGCCAATCACATTCATTGGATGACCCTGGGTACTAGCATTATTATTTAAACAACAACATTAGGAACTTGTCTCTGTTCACCATCTCCACAGTATGCATATTTTTATTAACTTTAACCACCACCACTCTTCTCTGTTTTCTATGAGGTCCGAACACCTTACTTTTTAAAGGAAAGGTTTGCCAATCCCGTGATCATTTTACTGGCATTTTCTGCACCTTTTCCAGATCTACAATACTGTGTGGCCAGAGCAGTAGATAGTATTCCAAATGCAGCTACCATTCTAAATTCTTTCTACCATGTTCACAAGACGCTATGTCATCATCATAATCAGCAGATCCCTTTCCTGTATATGTCAGTTGTTGATATTTTGCCCCATTATGTGAATCACTTTACATTTGCTTTCATTCGATCTTGTTTTCATTTCTCCCCCTTCATCTATTTTGGAGCTATTGACAAGCTGTTTGATTTTAGCTTGAAAGTAGTTTTGCTGACTAGAATATTGAGTGGAGTGCTATGGTTGTGTATGTTTTCAGGTTCTTTTTTGACATTTACTTTAGCTATACCCCCCAAAAAATATGGTGAGTCAATGTAACCACCTCTTTCTTCTGTACGGTGGAACCTAGGGTTATGTACCTCTCTGGATATGTAACTTTCAGGTTATGAATGTGGCAAACCTGGAAGTATTCTTCTGGGTTTCGCTGTGCGCACATGCACAGAAGTGCTCTATCACGCTGTGCGCATGCGCAGAAGCAGCACCTCTGGTTACAGATTTTTTGGGGTGCGCACGGACCCCCAGAACAAATTAAATTGATATCCAGAGGGTCCACTGTATATAGAAAAGAGATCTATAGCTCTATCTTCTCCATACATATAAGGTCTGATAATATCTGGATCACCAGTACACCAAAAAGCACTTCAAGGTCCCTACTTTAACCACCTGCTTTACCCATGAGAATATGGATACCTCTGATGATCAGATGTTGAAGCTAAAAAAGGCAGAATAGCATCCACACACTTGTTTTTGTCACATTCTAAATGCATCTGTTTGGCAGGTGTGAGAAAGAAAATACTGAACTAGATGGTGCTTTTTGTGTTCTTATTCTCTGTCTCCTCCCTCATATAATACTAACCTTTTCCAAATTTATAAATTTGTGCATGTGTGCATTTTAACTATGTTTCTATTATTCATTCCCCTTTCATTCAGGTAGCACAAAGTCTATTATGAAACAATTGTATGTTGTCTTCAAGCTAGGTAAAGGTAAAGGGACCCCTGACCATTAGGTCCAGTCGTGACCGACTCTGGGGTTGCGGCGCTCATCTCGCTTTATTGGCCGAGGGAGCCGGCGTACAGCTTCCGGGTCATGTGGCCAGGATGACTAAGCTGCTTCTGGCGAACCAGAGCAGTGCACCGTTTACCTTCCCGCCGGAGCAGTACCTATTTATCTACTTGCACTTTTGACGTGCTTTCGAACTGCTAGGTTGGCAGGAGCAGGGACCGAGCAACGGGAGCTCACCCCGTCACAGGGATTCGAACCGCTAGTTGTGTGTTAAAACAATGGAGATAAAAAGGACCCTCCCCCTTGAATCGCACACAAAAACAGTAGAGGTTTGAGACCACAGAATAAAACTAGGGAAGAATATTGCTTCACCAGCACATCAAATAATAAGTCTGATTTCACATTCTTTGCATGTATGTTCCTTTCATTTTCAGAAGACATTATAAATGTGTAGATGGCTGAACAAAATAACACAATTGTATTTGACTTCATTCTTTTGGGTGTCACAAATCGTAGAGAGCTGCAGCTTCCTCTCTTCATGCTGTTTTCAGTCGTTTACATTATCACCCTTCTGGGGAATCTGGGGATGATCACATTAATCAGGATGGACTCCCAACTCCACACTCCCATGTACTTCTTCCTCAGCAGCCTGTCCTTTGTAGACCTCTGCTATTCCTCCAATGTCACACCTCGGATGCTGGCCAATTTTGTAGCAGACTATAAAGTCATTTCCTTTACTGGATGTCTGATACAGTGTTATCTCTTCATTGCACTGGTGCTTACGGAGTCCTTCATCCTGGCCATCATGGCATATGATAGGTATGTAGCCATCTGCAACCCACTACTCTATACCACAAAGATGTCATGGAAGGTCTGCATGTGGCTGGTGGCAGTTCCCTCTGCATATGCTTTCCTAGATGCCATGATACAGACCATATTCACCTTCCGCTTGACCTTCTGTGGCTCCCATGTCATCAACCACTTTTACTGTGCTGACCCACCTCTCATGGAACTGTCCTGCTCTGACACCCATGTCAAATTGACCCTGATGTTACTTTCTGCCAGTTTCAACCTCATCAGCTCCCTAGCTGTTATTCTGACTTCCTACACCTTCATCCTCTTCACTATTCTGAAAATTCGCAATACCGGAGCGAGGTACAAAGCTTTCTCCACATGTGGCTCCCACCTGACGGCTGTCACCCTTTTCTATGGGACACTCTTTGTCATGTACATCAGACGTCCTTCCAGCGTGTCCCTAGAACAGGGCAAAATAGTCTCTGTGTTTTATGCCGTGGTGATCCCTATGCTGAATCCGTTGATCTACAGCCTAAGGAACAAGGAGGTGAAGGGTGCCCTGAAGAGATTATTGCAAAGGAAAGTGTTATTGCATTAAATGTCTATTCATTCACTAGTTATAAAATGAAATGATCCATGAGGAAGATGTGTCCACCATATGGTGAAGAAGAGGGAATATGAATTTTTACAGCTTATGAATATATGGTATTTAATATGTGGTAGATGAGTTCTTGCACCTTGCTGTCTGGTTTCTTCCTTCCCTCCCCACTTTTCCGATTCAATTTTGGTTGTTGGTTTCGATCTCCATAAAATATTGACAGTACGGCCCAAATACAAAATAGTATCTCTCACTCATCACCAGCATCTAATTTTCAGATCCACCAGTTCTTCAAAATTGAAACAGGGTGTTTGGGTGGACGTATTGCTTACACACTGCAATGGTACCTAATGGGTAGGGGAAATGCTCCTTGTAGCCTCTTCTGAAACTTCTGACTTACATTTTCATCCTCAAATTGTGAATTTCCTGGGGAAAAGGAGAAACTTGGAGTCAGCATCAGGTATGGTATCCTTCTTACATCTGCAAAGAAACACGGAAGCCCAAAGCCTAGCCTCGTGTCTTTTTCTCCATGAGCCCCCAACTTCATGAGACCATCAACTACAATGAAGAAACGAGTATCTTTATCCTATCGGTGTTACCTCTCATTTTGGTTGTATATATACTATTCTTTATTTGGCTCTCCAAGTAATTAATCTTGTGGTGTTAATGTGAGGTGGTATTAATGTTATTATTGGTTGATTGGATTTTACAATGAAAAGAATGCTCCTTATATTCATGTGGATGTAGTGTTTCCCTCCGCCCCATCCACAAAGCATTTGAAAGCCAGAAAACCATTTGTTTGCACCACAAGTTCCTTAGTCTTTCTGAGGATGCTTGTTTAGGCATGATAGGGGCTGGAGCGGGAGGGAATAGTTGGGGTGGGGAGTTTGGGGGATGTGGAATTTGTTATAGAATACACACATTAGATTTTAGTGATTGCCCTGGGCCTGTATATCATTATGGGATTCCTCTTTTGTCATGGCTGATGTCTATAGTGTTTCACTGAAGGTACAAGGCTTAGATGATGTGATCAAGCAATGGAGGAACTCTGAGTACATTAGAAGGCAGAAGTCCTTTATTGTTTCTTTATTCAGGAGACACATGATGCAGCTACAAGCAGTAGCCTCTTATCCTACTCATACTTTAGCAAACATTATATGGCTCCAGGTAATAAGCAGTCCAGAGGTGTTGCTAAAACCAGGTCCTAATCTCATGTTTCCCAGTTAGCTAAGTACTATGGACCCCGTATTTTTCAAAAGCCAAGCCACAGATCCCTACTTTTGAAAATCGTTATATCTTTATGGTAGTTTTTGTTATGTGAATGGTGCCACGGACCCCCTGGGTGGGTTACATGGACCCCCTGGGCCTGCGGACTACCAGTTGGGAACCACTGTCCAAATCTTTTAATTTTCAGGACCTACGGGGAAGGGTTCTGTGTCTGGCTGGAATACTAGGTACCCTCACTCTTATTTGCATCGGTTTAAACACTGGTCCTGTTTTATGAACACAATGGAAATCATTTGTTAGGCAATTGTTTGCATAACAAGTCAATGATTTTCACTGATTCCTGCTAGGAAAATTCTAATGCACTCTTGAGTATGCAATCTGTAGTGCATATAGTGAGGAATGGATACTGATTCATTTTGTTCAGAAAAGTGAATTTTCGCATAGCAAGCATTTGTAAATGGGACCTGAGTGTTACCTTCAAAACTATTTTTGCAGGCAATTTGAATGCTATCTGTAGAAAGCATTTGGATAGACTTCCCAATGTGTCGCTTGGCAGCTATTCTGGAAATAAATGTATATTCCCACTCTTAAACAGCTACAATCTTTAAAAAGGATGGTGTCATATAAATCAGGGAGCGAGCTATCACACATATTTATCTCTGAAATTTCATTCTTATTCAGGAATGATTTTTCTTTTTAATCTCTGTCTCCCTAATTTTGATTTTATTGAACATAGAACCCATGACTCTATCTGATCACTTTAAGGCCTCTTTACAAATACAGGACCCCATTATCTCTGACTCGATATGGTGGTTGCATACATTCCTGATGAACCACAAGATATTCTAGAGGCAATCCAAATGGCTATAAGAAATTACTTTGCTGACAATGCCTCTCCCAATGTCGAACCTCATATTCTCTGGGGTGCAATGAAGGCTGCAGTACTTGGAATATGCATTGAAGAAATGACTGGAACAACATCAACAAAAGGAATTCCTCTAACAAAAATGCCAATCCAGTCAGATATACAAGACCATGAATTAAAACATTAAAGGACAGGCTCCAACTGAATTTATGTCAACCTAATCACTAAAAGGATTCTGCATCCTGTGTCCATTGAACATATTCTTTCCTGGGATACATTTGTGTCCCTTCTTCCCCTGATTTTTGTTTTTGTTTTCATTTTTTGCACTTCTGCTAATCATGGAGTTACCCCAAGGCTGCCAATAATTCTCTCTTGGGCATGGATGATTCCTTTTAGCTACATAAGGGTTGATAATCTCAGAATGAGTTCACAATTAATATAAATGATTACACTAGCCCTTATTTTAAATACTGGATATCTCTTCTGCAATTATTCCTGGTATTATTACCAAACTTTCACATTTTATTTTATTTCACATTTCATTTATTTTCCATGAGTGATGAACTGAAATAATGACATAGTCAATGGTAAAAGAGAACAGGAAGTCTAATATCTTCAGCCAACAAATTAACTACTAAATTATACTAGTTCAATAGATGCAATAGTCAATTAAACAGGAACACATGTTCATTGTCAACAGCAGCCACTAAGTATCCTATGGAGTGCAGTAATTTTTACTCTCAAGGCTCTAGAAAACAACAAGAGAAACAGAAGAGATTCTGTCCCTTGACTCACAGGTGACTATAAAGTTTTCTGTTTCATGCAGCTGCCACTGCTATCAGGAATCTGTGGGACTGCCTCTTCTCTCATCGAGGTAGGTTTTACCAGCATCCATTAACTATATTCAGGTGTGAAACATCTAATATCTATCCAGGAATTTAGCCAAATGTCCCTTTGGCTCTGAGAATTTTATTTCTATAGCATAGTATGTTGACTAAGACTCCAGTTGTGCATTGGTCACATTCATTTCCAAATCAGTTGCAACTAGATGTGTATTCACCAATGATAAGATTCATTCCTCCCCCATTCAACACTTTGAGGAAACAGATTGCCTCAGTGTGAAGTGCTTTGCAGGCTTGCCAATTCATTCAGAAGCATTTATGCCTTTTTAATTATTATTTTGGGCTAGAAATGGATGCAATCTGCTGGCAAAGTTACTCCTTATGAGGACGTGGAAACTGGCAAATTTCAAAATGGCTGCCATGGTTTTCCTGCAGCTTTATCTGCTGACAAGGTTGCACTCCTGTCAGCACTTGTGCTACAGCATTCTGCACCAACTGCAACTTCTGGATCAGGCACAAGAGAAGCCCCACACAGAGTCCAGTAACCCAACGCATGAACTACTGTGGCAAGGCTTTCCTGGTCCAGGGATGGTCATAGCTGTTGAAACAGTTGCAGTTGGTAAAAGGAACTGAGCACCCCAAATGACAAACCTGCTCCTTCAGGGGGAGTGCGAACCCATCCAGGGTAGGCAACTGAACAATTTGTCAGACAGAAGAAGAAGAAGAAGAAGAAGAAGAAGAAGAAGAGAAGAAGAAGAAGAGGAGGAGGAGGAGGAGGAGGAGGAGGAGGAGAAGTTTGGATTTGATATCCCACTTTATCACTACCCAAAGGAGTCTCAAAGCGGCTAACATTCTCCTTTCCCTTCCTCCCCCACAACAAACACTCTGTGAGGTGAGTGGGGCTGAGAGACTTCAGAGAAGTGTGACTAGCCCAAGGTCACCCAGCAGCTGCATGTGGAGGAGCGGGGACGCGAACCCGGTTCACCAGATTACGAACCCACCGCTCTTAACCACTACACCACACTGGCTCATTCACAGTGCCTCTGTCTTGCCAGGATTCAAGATCAGTTTGTTTTTCCTTATCCATTTCACCACTGCATCCCAGGCAATGACCCAGAGACTGCACAGCTTCTCCTGATTCCAATGTTATGGAGAAACAGAGGTGAGTGTCAGCAGGATACTGATGGCCCTCATCCTGAAACACTGAATGACTGCTCCCAATGGCTACATGTAGATATTGATAGTACTGGGGATAACAGAGTAGAACCCCATGACATAGCTGCAAGGGGACTGAAAAGCACTCTCCTAATGCTACTCTCTGGACTCAGTCCTGAAAGTAGGATTGGAACCAGCGTACAGTAATAGAGTGTCCCCAATTCCCATTCCCCAGAGTTGGTCCAGGAGGATGCCATGGTCGATAGTATCAAAAGTCAACAAGAGATCGAGAAGTAGGAGCAAGGTTGCAGTCTCCCTGTCCTCCTCTCCGCACAGGTCATCCATCAAGGTGACCAACAAAGTACTTCTTATGTTCTTATTTTCTCCTTTCCAAAGTGTATCAGCTTGTTTTTGTGCATGTGTGAAAATACATTCTGTCTTTCTATCTTGCATTCCCTGAGATTTTAATAGCACCAGTTCTATTAGAAAACAAAATGTGTTGTCTTCAAGCTAGTTTTATTGTGTGTTAAAAGGTGGGGGCATTAAAAAATAGGACCCCAAGTTCCTTCCCCAATTTACACGCAATCATAAAAGAGGTTTGAGACAACAGAATAAAACCAGAGAAGAGTATTGTTTCACCAGTACATCCAATAATGAGTCTGCATTCACTTTGTGTGTATGTTTTTTTTTTCCTCAGAAGACATCATACATGTGTAGATGGCTGATAGTAATCAGACAATGATGTATGACTTCATTCTTTTGGGGTTCACCGATCGTAGAGAACTGAAGTTTCCATTCTTCATGCTGTTTTTATTTGTTTATATTATGACCCTGCTGTTGAATCTGGGAATGATCACATTAATCAGGATGGATTCGCAACTCCACACTCCCATGTACTTCTTTCTCAGCAGCTTATCCTTTGTGGACATTTGTTATTCCTCCAATGTCACACCTCGGATGTTGGCAAATTTAGTAGCAGACTACCAAGTCATTTCCCTCACTGGATGTGTGATACAGTGTGACCTGTTCATTGCACTGAGTCTCACTGAATCCTTCATCCTGGCCGTCATGGCATATGATAGGTATGTTGCCATTTGCAACCCACTGCTCTATACCACAAAAATGTCCCGGAAGTTTTGCATGTGGCTGGTGGCAGTTCCCTCTGCATATGCTTTCCTAGATGCCACGATACAGACCATATTCACCTTCCGCCTGACCTTCTGTGGCTCCCATGTCATCAACCACTTTTACTGTGCTGACCCACCTCTCATGAAACTGTCCTGCTCTGACACCCATGTCAAATTGACCCTGATGTTACTCTCTGCCAGTTTTAACCTCATCAGCTCCCTCATTGTTATTCTAATCTCCTACGTTTTCATTCTCTTCACTGTCCTGAAAATTAAAAATGCTGGGGCGAGATACAAAGCTTTCTCCACATGTGGCTTCCACCTGACAGCTGTCACTATCTATTATGGGACACTCTTTGTCATGTACATCAGGCGTCCTTCTAGCGTGTCCCTAGAACAGGGGAAAATAGTTTCTGTGTTCTATGTGGTGGTGATTCCCATGCTGAATCCGTTGATCTACAGCCTAAGGAACAAGGAGGTCAAAGGTGCCCTGAAGAGATTAATGCAGAGGAAAGTATTATTGCATTAGATGTCTATTCATTCACTTGCTATGAACAATAAAACGAAGAAATAAGGAGGTTGTCTCCACAGTATGTCCAAGTAGAAGGGAAATTAAATTTTAAAGCTTATGAATGTGTGAAGTTTATTATATGATAGATGTATTATTGCATATTGCTGTTTGGTTTCTTCAGTCCTTTACAAAATTTCTAATTCCCATTTAGTTATTGGTTTTTATCTCCAGAAGATACTGACAATATGACCAAAGTTTAGCTTAGTACCTCAAAATCCTAAGGAATCACCAGCATTTAATTCTCAAATTCACCCGTTTCTTTGATTTATCCTTCTTGGGAATTTTCAGTTTTCTTCTCAGGTTTTCTTCTTTATCAGTTGTGGAGCCATCAGGATGCAGCACTGTACTCAACATTTATTACAACTTTGAGATAAATGTATTGTTATTGTTTTGGGGGTCAGTTTTGGGTGATATTAGTTGGTCCTTCTCAGACCTGCCATTCTTTGTGAGGTTAGAATCTACAAGAGGAAACCTGGTGAACCAGTCAAACTAGTTACTTTTTTAAGGTAATGGCCTTGGCTGGCCTTATTAGCATTGCAAAATTTTTGCTAAGAAAAGATATGTTGCCATAGTGACAAATGAAGATGTGTCCAGGAGCAGATAGACTTCCTCCCATCTCTCACCTGGCTGGATGCCATCCAATCCAAGGAAGGAGCACAATAGGCTAGGGGAATTAATGTTTGTGGGTGAAGCTGGAGACACAGAGCCTTGCCTTGCTCTGTGCTGGACCCAAAGTTATGGCTTCCTGGGAACATAATGGGGAGGCAAAATCTGTCTACCAACTCCATCTGGTACATAGGCTGAGACCTGTCCACAGATTGTCTCGCCAGTGGTGCATGCTCTAGTTATCTCTCGCTTGGATTACTGCAATGCGCTCTATGTGGGGCTACCTTTGAAGGTGACTCGGAAACTACAACTAATCCAGAATGCGGCAGCTAGACTGGTGACTGGGAGTGGCCACAGAGAGCATATAACACCGGTCTTGAAAGACTTACACTGGCTCCCAGTACGTTTCCGAGCACAATTCAAAGTGTTGGTGTTGACCTTTAAGGCCCTAAATGGCTTCGGCCTAGTATACCTGAAGGAGCATCTCCACCCCCATCGTTCAGGTTACAGACTCTGCTAACTGAGGTCCAGCATTGAGGGCCTTCTGGTGGTTCTCTCACTGCAAGAAGCCAAGTTACAGGGAACCAGGTAGAGGGCCTTCTTGGTAGTGGCACCCACCCTGTGGAATGCCCTACCATCAGATGTCAAGGAAATAAACAACTATCTGACTTTTAGAAGACATCTGAAGGCAGCCCTGTTTAGGGAAGTTTTTAATGTTTGATGTTTTATTCTGTTTTAATATTCTGTTGGGAGCCACCCAGAGTGGTTGTTTATTATTATTATTATTATTATTATTATTATTATTATTATTATTATTATTAGCTTTGAACCTTTCCATCCTATGCTCAGGTTATATACATGTGTAAATAAAAACATATATCCTAAATATGCTACAGTCTCTACTAACTTTCTTTCCAGGGAAATTGAGCTCTCTACTGCAATTGTATTTAATATCTCCTCTAGTCTCTTAATGTTATTATTTTACATTTTCATGACTCTCCTTTTTATTTTCCAAATTTTAATCCATTTGACATAACTGAAAAGCAGGTGGTTACTTTAGATGTCAAATTCCTGATGGAGGGAAATGCCTCATTACAATTAAGATGATCTGTACATGAAAACAGAATCTTCACACAGATTGCCTTTTAGAATTGGATCCTGCGTATGCAAAGGGCTAATAAAATCCCACATCCTACATTCAAAGATAAAAGCATCACTTGAAGATGGAAATCTCCAGAAAAATCTCCAGGAAATGGGAAACGCATTTTCATAGTGTACACTTCCTTGGATTATCTCTTGCTGGCAGTGGACTAACCAGAAAGAGATTACAGAAACCCTTAAAGTGGACTTTTGCAAAGATAAAACAAGTCAGGCACAAAGCTTTCCCAAACACAATACTAAGGACAACCTCTGAAGATTTCCATCTTGATATACAGTGGTACCTCGGCTTAAGAACTCAATTTGTTCTGGAGGTCTGTTCTTAACCTGAAACTGTTCTTAACCTGAAGCACCACTTTAGCTAATGGGGCCTCCTGCTGCCACTGTGCCGCCTCTGCACGATTTCTGTTCTCATCCTGAAGCAAAGTTCTTAAGCCAAGGTACTATTTCTGGGTTAGTGGAGTCTGTAACATGAAGCGTATGTAACATGAAGCGTATGCAACCCGAGGTACCACTGTAGTTCATGATAGGATGGTATAGAAATAATTCTATAAACAAATAAATGGATTTTTAAATGGAAATGCTATATATGTTATGTCTGGTCACATGATTTATTTTTGCAACCAGTAAACCTATTGTTGTTTCCGATTTTACTGGGGTCAACTGCTCATCGTGAACTCCTATAAGTTATTAAGGAAGAGCTTCCAGAATGAAAGAAGGCTATCAAGGAATGCCTAAGAAAAGGGAGGGAAATTGTGGAAACTGAATTACGTTTCTGAATGAATACTATTATTGGAGACGTGTGGCTTTTGCCTCTATGTTACTGAGACCTTCAGCTCCAGATGATAGTTTACCAGCCTAAGACTGGGCTCAAGTTGGCAATAACTGAATGATTTATATGGCTTGAGTCCTTGGTCTAAGGCATTTAATCGAGCAGGAGCAGATTCAACCAAAAATGTGGTGATTTAGAATTGATTAATCTTTTTAAAATAATATACTTTTCAAAAATAAATACATTGCCAAAAGAGACCCACCAACTAAATAATTGTAGGATTTGACAGAGTACCAGCTATGCCATTGCCATGAGAGATACACTGATGGTACACTGATGAATTCACCAGGGGAGTCAATATAGCTCCACTGTATATATTTATATATTTCGTGGTTTTATATTCTGATTTTGTTATGTGAACTGCCCTGAGACCTTTGGGTATAGGGTGGTATATAAATTCAATAAAATAAATCAATCAATCAATCTGTACACTGCCCTTTATCCAAAGATCACAGTGGTTCAAAACATAAAAATACAAAGTGGGAACACAAAATACATAATAATAATAATAATAATAATAATAATAATAATAATAATAATAATAACAACAACAACAACAACAACAACAACAACAACAACAACAACAATAATAAACCCAAACCAATAACCCCACTTCTAAAAGCACATTTAAAAGGTCACAGGATGTTAATCAGCCAAAGGTCTGGTTGTAGAGGAATGTTTTCGCTTGTCGCCTAAAGATATGTAATGAAGATGCCAGGCGGGCCTCCCTGGGGAGAGCATGCCACAAAAGGGAGCCACTCAAGAAAAGGCCTGTTCTTGTGTTGCCATCCTCTGGACCTCTCTGGAAACGACCATCCAAGTAGTACCAGAACCACTGCAAAATGGTGCTACTCACCCCTAACTCGGACAGCTGCTCCAGAAGTATACCATGGTCAAAGGTATTGAAAGCCACTGAGAGGTAAAGGACAACTGACAGGGACACAATTCCCCTGTCTCTCTCCTGACAGAAGTCATAATCCAGGGCAACCAAAGCAGTTTCTGTGTCAGAACTGGGCCTAAACCCTTACTGAAATGGATTTCATTTCAAAAGAAATGATCGAAATGTATTAAAATGTACACTTTAAGATAAAATATATTTAGAGGCACACATTTGACTGAACATTTTCTCGCAGATTTTCAAGAAGAAATATATTAGCAAATTAATGGGGAAAGGGAATTAAATGACATTTTGAGTGAGCACATGTGGAAGTGACATGGACCAGAAAGAGATTGATTTATCTATCCATCCCTACATTGAGGCTCTTCCGTCTTATCTCCTGTGTTGCTTTCTAGCATCACCTCCTTTTGGCCACTCCAAGCATACACACAACACATTCCATTCTTGGCTTGAATAAAATACATTAGGATGAATGTCCTAAATATCCATCAGCGGACAACAACAATTCTCTCTGTTGTTCTCTTCAGAGCATCTTTCACCTCCTTGTTTCTCAGGCTATAGATCAGAGGATTGAGCATAGGAATCACCAGTGTGTAGAAAACGGAAGCTATTTTATCCGTTGCTAGAGAGTGGTTTGTACTAGGTTGCAAATACATAAAGATCAGAGTTCCATAGAAGATGGTGACAGCAGTCAAGTGAGAAGCACACGTGGAGAAGGCTTTGAGTCGTCCCTGAGCAGAGCTGATTCTCAGAATGGCTGAGAGGATAAACGTATAAGAGATGAGAACAATGAGAAGGGAGCATAGCATATCAAAACCAGCAAAAGCGTAAATCAGTATCTGCTTGGTGCTGGTGTCAGAGCAAGAAAGGGCTAACAACGGGAGGTCATCACAGTAGAAATGGTTGATCACATTAGCAGAGCAGAAGGACAAACGAAATGTAACTATGGTGTGGAACAAGGCAACACAGAAGCTGTATGCATAAGGGCCAGCTGCCAGCTGGATGCAGACTCTCTGGGACATGATGATCCGATAAAGCAGTGGATTGCAGATGGCCACGTAACGGTCATATGCCATCACCGCCAGGAGAAAGCACTCTGTGATCATGAAAGTAAGGAAGCAGCCCAGCTGTGCTGCGCACGCATAGTACGAGATGGTTTTCTTAGCTGCTAAGAAGTTTGCCAGCATCTTAGGGGCAATGACAGAGGAATAGCAGAGGTCAACAAAAGCCAAGTGGCTGAGGAAGAAGTACATGGGGTTATGGAGGTGGCTATCAGTCCGGATTAGAAGGATAATCCCAAGATTCCCCATCACAGTGATAACGTAGATCAGGAGGAAGATGACAAATAGGGGGACTTGTAGGTCCGAGCGGTCGGTGAGTCCAAACAGAATGAACTCCTTCACTGTGGTCACGGTGTGATTGGCATCTGCCATTTATTCCGCATCAGATCATCTGGTTAAACAGGGCATGATTAAATCAGGGGAGAATTTCACTTATCTCTGGCAGGCAGAAAACATACAGTAGTGTTATCTCAGCATATGTGGATGATAATTTTTTCTGGTATAAAAAAATACTGCCTTGTTCCTGTAGGTGTTCCGTTTTCAGTTCTGATGTGATAAACATTGTCATGCAATCACAATGTCACCATCACCTGAAATTATTGTTTGAGATATGTTATGTGTTTCTGATCTGTATAACCACCCCCACACCAATCCTAAGAGTTTGCCTGGGTTCAGAAAGCATTTCTTGACCTTCTTACCAGATAAACCCTATGACTGAACACGGGTAGCTTTAACTCTGTCTCCTTATAGGTTTTTTTTGTCATTTGGGGTCAGGAAGGCAATAGAAATGCTGCCCATTTTGATACATTTCTGTATTTTCTCCTTAGAATAAGGTGTGTAATATATCCATTGTACACAGCAGGGAAATATTCAAATGTAAATACACCATACAGCAAAAGTGATCAGGGTGGAGGAGTGGTGGCACTTGCCTAACCTTCTGTGACTGGTGTTGCTGTGGGTTACTGGGAGAGGTGAGGTGGTGGGGAGGTTGGTGTGGTGCAAACACACAGCTATGAAGCCGATCTGATACTCCTGTTGGAGGATTTATATCTTGGTAACCTCTCCTTCCCAGTAAGCTGCACTGATGTCAGTGATGAGAGGTCATGTAAGCGCCACCCCTCCTCCCCACCAACCATCATGGTCATACAGGTACACTGAAGAGACTAAATTGGTTGCAGCAACCTTTTGAGTGCACAGGTGACAAAACTGGACGTGCTGCTACATAAAGTGTGAAATGGTCCGTAGCAGCACCTTATTCTTGCCAGCAGGGCAGCTTTTTCAAACTGCCCTTCTAACAAAGCTGATACCACTTGAACGCCACCTCCCAATCAGGTTTTTGCTTGAATCATAACACACCTGACACTTTTATGAAGAATCTCTAGGCAAGTAGATCCTCGCCATATTGTTAGGGGATGCTTGGGGAATTTCGTCTTTTGTGACTTGCTCTGAATTTCTTAGACTGGATAATTTTTGCACTTCTCTGAATTTTGCAACACTGCTCTCTGCAATGTATCAAATGTATCAAAGTACATTTAGAAACACACACACACACACACACACACACACACACACAGAGAGAGAGAGAATACATATAAAAATACACACCAACACATATATAAATGCATTTTTGTATGGAGTTTCTTTTAAAAAGAAATGGCTGATTAATGAGGACCTATGGAACAGATTTATGGATGACACAAATGATAAACAGATTGGTTCTTCCATCTCCATATATATCATACTTCTATTCTTATTTCCTGGACAAATCCCATTTCTCACCATAAGGGTTGCTATTCCACCGTGCGCTGCTCAATGTCTGAAGGATGTATCTCTCTGTATCTATACATAAAAAATGTATCTATCTACATATACGAAGATGTTAAATACTAAGATCTCATATAAAGAAATGCACATTCACTTCCAAAGTGCCAGAAGAAATATAGTTATGAACTAGCGATACTTTGCACTTGTCACTCTTCCTGCAGAGAGGTAAAATTCACCCTTCCTGGAAGAAAGGTGAGCAAAGTTGTGGCTGAAGAATGTGACAGTGTCCATTTTTTGCCACCACTAACCCATGCTGAGGCACTTCTGCACTGATTGCTTCCCCATCTCATGGATAAAAATATACTCTCCTCCGGTCTTCCTCGTTCACAACAGGATACACATTTTTTTAAACATGGAAATTATCCCCTTGTAGAACAATGCTGATTTGGTTCTTGGTTAAAGTAGCCAGCTGCCCAACCTACCAGAGTGTCCATTTCCTCGTTCTTTTATGCACTCTGAATGGGTCCCCTGACTGCTTTCCAAGCTCTTTATGTGTGTATCTGTCCCTCTAGCATTCTGCCTCATATTCCGCCTGTAGGAGTTTTGATCCTTAGGGATATCTCCAAATGAGCTGCTGAGATAAACATGTGCCATGTAATCATGCTTCTTTGCATGATGGAATCCTCTTCTTACCAACTGGTAAGTGCAGGATTCAACCCTGCATGGTACTGCTCCTTCCCAAGGAGTTTCCCTTAAGGGCAGGTGCTTGTGAACGAGCAACACTGAGCTCAATGGAATGTTCATCTGAATGTATCAGATGGTAAGTGCAGGATTCAACCCTGCATATTGCATTCACAAACATACAGGACCTTTCATTCAGTCAGGAGAGGGGGAAAGAGATGCAGCTTATCCCCCCCCCACCCAACCATATGTTTACTTAGGTTTTTAAAAACCCTAAGTACAGGCCATCTTTAGCATATGCGCCGCCAGGGTGCAAAGATCCACCCAGCGCTCCCAAAATTTAGTTTAGTCTCCCCCAAAGTAACTTTTATTGAGCTTTTTTTGGGAGGGGGGAGCCAAAGTTGTTGACCTTGTGGGGGAGCGTGAGCTCAAAGTTATTGAACTTTTTTGGGGAGGGGGGAAACGCTCACCTATAACAACCTTTTCATTGCTGCCAATCAAGAGAGACCAGTATACAGGTAGTATACATTTGGTGCCCCCCAGAATTAGATGCCTGGGTGCCCCACACCCCTTGCAACCCCCTTAAAGACAGCCCTCCCTAAGTAGCCCTGCCCCTGAATCAGAGGCACCAGCTTGCAAGGCCAGTGTTGCATGTGTGACATACGTGTGATGTCAAGAGGTCGGGGTGGAACCAAACATGGTGACCATGCAGCTTCAGTGGCTGGTGCCTTCTTATCCACTTCCTCTTGGTACCACCACTGATGGGAGGCTGCTTCAACCCTTCTTCCCCTCTGCAACAGCAGCAGGAGGAGAATGAGTCAACCGCTGGAGTTGTGCAACACTCACCTCCATGCTCCACCTCTGCACTTTTTGGACATTGGAGGAAGCCCCCACTCCCAAAATATAGGGAGGGCAAAAGGGCTCAGCCCCCAGGAGCTGGCACTGCTGCCTTTAATTGATCAGGGACCAGATTTTGAGGTGGATGACCCTTTGGCAGGTCTGCCAAATCCAGGGAATCTAGATTAAGGCCCTGATACAGTTTCAGAGTTTGTGTGAGTCTGTGCACAGTCCTAATAAATGGCTGCAATAAATAAATTATAAAATGTGACTTGTCATTCTATTTTGAAACAAGACAAGGCTAGGTAGGAATGTTTGGTCCTAAGTGCTATCTGTGACTTTTTTTGTACATACAATGAATGGGTTGAACATATTTTTTTTTATATTGCTGAGTATTATAACATTTAAATTAAAAAGAGATGCTGCTTTATAATGAATCAGAGCAGCAATCCAGCAGCCCCCTTTTAAGCTTCCGAGAAAACTTTGGAGATTCTGTGGTTTAAACAATGAGACAGAACCAGGAAAGCGAAGTGCACCAATGGGGAGTAGAAAACAGCAGCCATTTTGGACTACCAGAATTCCTATAGAGCAGTGTTTCCCAAACTTGGGTCTCCAGCTGTTGTTGGGCTACATCTCCCATCATCCCTAGCTAGCAGGACCAGTGGTCAGGGATGGTGGGAATTGTAGTCGAAAAACAGCTGGAGAGCCAAGTTTGGGAAACACTGCTGTAGAGCTTGGTGTCCAAATAACTCATTCATCAATCACAGCTCTGACTGCACACATGGATTAAAAACAATGAAAGGCAGGAGCAGCCTGGTGACTCATTTCATAGAAATTGCTTAGAAAGTTGCATGTAGAAGGTCTTGGTATTTACAGTGGTACCTTGGTTTTTGAACATAATCCGTTCTGGAAGACCGTTTGAGTTCTGAAACGTTCAAAAACCGAGGACTCAACAGCCGACAGCTAGGCCTCTGGATCTTGTAGTCAGCGGAGGCTGCGTGGCATGTTCAACTTCTGAGGTGTGTTCGAAAACTGAAGCATTTACTTCTGGGTTTATGGCATTCGTAAACTGAAATGTTTGTCAACAGAGACATTAAAAACCGAGGTACCACTGTACTTTTTATTAAAAAAAAAAAAGCTTAGACTCTAGGCCCCTTGCAAGTCTGGACCCTGATGAGATGGTGCCCATTATAATCTCTCTCTCTCTCTCTCTCTCTCTCTCTCTCTCTCTCTCTCTCTCTCTCTGATGTTATGGGGAATTTTCCCAAGGCTCAGGTGAAATTGATGAGTTTAGTCAGCTGCAGGCACCCAAGTTCGGAGGCAGATAGACTAATCCTGAGCCATCCACACCTAGTGTGACTTTCTCTGCTCTGCAGCAAGAGACATAAGGTGATTGAGAGCCTATAGGGAATCCTCACAAGAGAATGAATAAATACTCTGTGTGCTCCTCATCCAAGCTCAACCCTCTGAATGCTGCTGAGGCTCCATTCCATAGGTGAGCTACTAAAGTATGAAAATGGTGTTCAGGAGACAAGTCCTAGGAATCTCTGGTTGTTGTTGTTGTTGTCATCTGCAATTCATTGAGTACTTTAAAATAGATATTAGTGGTAGACAGAATGGTGCTGAGAGTTTAGGATTTTGCTCATTTGCTACAATTAAAAATGCTGCAATCCATAGCTGATTGTGCTTTTGGATGCTCAAATACATATCTTGCATAGATTGGAATTCCTATTAACTTCCGTGTGGGTGGAAGGGAGCCAATTTGTGTGTTCTGAGGAATATGTGAGTGGATCAGGTTTTTTTCACTGAAAACAAAGAAAGAAGTAATTTGGTAGGGAAGATAGCATTATACAGGCACCAGAGTTTCCACATTTGGAAAAGATTACAGGAGGGCACTAAGTTAAAATCTACCTTCAAAAGGTGTTTTCATGCAAAATGTGTAGGATTTTAAAAATTAGTAGCACTTTAAAAAGGTAAAGGGACCCCTGACCATTAGGTCCAGTCATGACTGACTCTGGGGTTACGGTGCTCATCTCGCTTTATTGGCCGAGGGAGCCGGCGTACAGTTTCTGGTCATGTGGCCAGCTTGACTAAGCTGCTTCTGGTGAACCAGAGCAGCCCACGGAAACACCGTTTACCTTCCCGCCGGAGCGGTACCTATTTATCTACTTGCACTTTGACGTGCTTTCGAACTGCTAGGTGGGCAGGAGCAGGGACCAAGCAACGGGAGCTCACCCCATCGCGGGGATTCGAACCGACAACCTTCCTGATTGGCATGTCCTAGGCTCTGTGATAGTAGCACTTTATCTCCAAGTAAAATAAAACATGAAAACCTTTACAGGCCTCAGAAAGTAAATAACATTGAGTCTATGTGGCTTACCCCTGAAATAAATGGGCATCTCCTGAAAATAGAACATTCTGTAATTTGAAGGGAATTCTGAAATATCTCCTCCTGAATTTAAAAAGGGTGTAGTTCCACAAATCTTCCTCTTGCACATCATTTGCTCCTAATGACCATATGCAACTGGCAGGATTAAGGAGATGGAAATTGTCTGACCCCTCCTCCCATCTTCTTCGCTCTCTCAAAATAGATAGTAGATACTCAGCCTTTTTCTTTCTTTCTGTCCCAGCAGCTAATCTATAATAAAAAACATGTCTGTGTGGAATCATTCAAGCACCACTGAGTTTATTCTCCTGGGAATCACAAGCCGAATGGAGCTGAAACTGCCCCTCTTCTTTCTGTTCCTTCTGATCTACATTGTCACCCTGGTGGGGAACATAGGGATGATCTTGCTCATCAGGAGAGACCCTCGCCTCCACACCCCCATGTACTTCTTTCTCAGTAACTTGGCTTTTGTGGATGTCAACTATTCCTCAGCCATCACACCCAACATGTTAGTCACTCTCTTGGCAGAGAACAAACGCATTGGGGTCATTGGATGTGCAACTCAGATGTTTATGTTTGTTATATGTGGGAGTTCTGAATGCCTCTTGTTGGCAGTGATGGCGTACGACCGGTATGTGGCTATCTGCAACCCACTGCGTTACCCCATCATAATGTCAGGGAAAAGGTGCATGTGGCTAGTAGCTGGTTCCTATTTCCTTGGAAATTCTTATGCAGTTCTACATACAGTGTTTACCTTCACTCTGTCCTTTTGTGGGCCAAATGTGATCAACCATTATTACTGCGACATTCCCCCACTGCTACAGCTTTCTTGTTCAGATACGCACACCAACGAGACGGTGATATTTGCACAGGTTAGCATAAATTGCGTTGGCACGACAGCAATCATCTTGCTCTCCTATGCCTGTATCTTGGCCACCATTTTGAAGATCCATTCTGCCGAGAGCAGGCGCAAGGCCTTTTCCACCTGCACATCCCATCTGACAGTTGTCAGCTTATTCTATGGGGCAATTTTCTTCATGTATCTGAGGCCCAGCTCCACGTACGCACTAGAGCAAGACAAAGTGGCCTCGCTATTCTACACGGTGGTGATGCCCATGCTGAATCCCCTCATCTACAGCCTGAGAAACAAGGAGGTTAAGGATGCATTTTGGAGACTGCTTGGGAAGACACTGCCATTGTAAAGGACAATTATGGAATAACAAACCAATATAATAATGAACAGGATATTCAACTTTCATTCTGTTTACTAAAATTCATTATGCCTTTCAGTTTATTATTGTTGCTGTATTTCTATTTTAAGGGCTTGTTCTAATGGTGGTGCAAGTAGAAGGAACCTTCCCAAACCAATGTTTATCATTTATTTATTTATTAGATTTATATACCGCTCTTCATTAAAAGATCTCAGGGCAAGTTCACAAAATGTTCACCTCCCTGTTGCAGCCCCCTCTACCAAGGACAGATGCATCAGTCATATCTACATGTTGGTTCAGAAGTCCATCCCATCCCATTTCCAGATTAATTTGCAATTTTTACTTTTAAAAGTACAAAAGAATTTTTGCATATAATACATACACATACTTTTATTACAAAATACATACAGTATATAAATATTATTTGATCCCAAAATGAGCATTTTAAATACCTTTTTCATCTCACGTTGTGCATTTTAAAGCATATTTTATCCTAAAACACACATTTCTTTCCTGTTTTTGTTTCTATGAAGAAATGTATTGTGAAATTCAGAGAAGCAGAAAGAAAATTACACTCTGATCTATGTCTTATTCTGGGAGACGTGGATTAGGTTTGTTCACTTACAAATTCAGACAAAATTCATCTCCGAGGCATCTTAATTTTTTTACATTTTTTAAAATGCCAAAGCAGTCAGTAGGATAGCCATTCTCTACTTTGCAGAGAACAGTTCTCCATTTGAAGAGTTATCCCAGGACAGCCCTCTAATCTGAAGGGCTACCAATTACATGCTTAGTATATAAAGAACAATCAAGAAGAAAAAGCAGCAGAGGCCTTGAGGTTGCCCTTCAATGGTTAGCTCTTGCACTGCAGTCTAAGTAGACTCAGATGCCACCTGGTCACAGTCTTTGCTACTATGGGGAGATGTATTGTATTTCAATTGTAGTAATTATTTCCAGATTTGCATCTATACACATTAGCACCTGCAAATGTTATGTGAACCTTGTCCTACTTCATCCTCTTTATTTTTGTCAGATTAACAATGGGTAAGTCACCACCCTGGCTTTAAGTCATGGAATCTGGAGTTGTACAGCCTAAGAATAGGTTTACCTGCTCAAGGAGAGACAGGCTAGCAGCAAATACAGCTGAATGTGCATTTATTTATATAAAGAGATATAGCAGAAATGCATCTGCGTAAGTGTTTATGCTAATGCTAGAAGCTTCTGAACCTAGATGGGAAAACTGAATGCAGGAAAGGAAAGTTAGGGCTGCCATACATCCTGACTTTCCAGGACATGCCTTGGAATTAAAAAAAGCACAACCTTTGTTCCCCTAAAAACACACACCCAAAAAACTCTGTTCTGATTTTCACTTGGAGATATGGCAACTCTAGGAAAGTGCCTGCTTGTATGCTGCCACAGGCATGTAGCTGGCCACTGTGAGAACAGGATGCTGGACTAGATGGGTCATTTGCCTGAGCCAGCAGATTCATCTTATGTTCTTATGCCAGGCATAGACAAACTCGGCCCTCCAGATGTTTTGGGACTACAACTCCCATCATCCCTAGCTAACAGGACTAGTGGTCAGGGATGATGGGAGTTGTAGTCCCAAAACATCTGGAGGGCTGAGTTTGCCTATGCCTGTCTTATGCTACATTTACTCCTATCTGAAAGAGCTGCGGTGGATACCACTATAAACACTATAAACCACTATAAACAATATTGCTTGTTCAAGTAGCTACACACCCAACTAGAAACATGCAATTTGATGCGGTTTTCACACGTGAAACATGGATCTCCAGATTTAGAAAGGATAAAGACTGCAATGTACTTGAACATTCTGGCCCATGTAATTTTAACATACGCAATCCAAACCCAACTGAAGCAAAAGCTCCATTAAGCCTTGTGTGTGGGAACTATATTTATAATGATTTTCCGCTGGTGAATTCCCTGTGATCCACCTATTACGGATACAGGCTCCAGATGGATATGTAAGTTAGTGATGATGATCTATTAATACACTAGTGGTTATTATAGGTAGAATGTTTACAAAGATATAATTCCTCTTAGAGACTCATTATGTTTATGGAAGCAATAATTACTCAAGGCAAATCTTTATTTAGCATTAGGAACAGTGCTTCCAAATGGTAACAATGATTATGGTCTTAACAAATGATGAGATTGGAGGTCCACAGTGGCCTGCGCTTGCCCCGGCAGGGGCATTATGTGACCCGTGAGAACAGCAAAATAACCAGACTGTGCAATGGTGATGGGATAAAATCAGGCCAAATCTTTATTGAAAGCAGCAGGCAGTGCAAGGGTTGCCATGGCATTGGGTCCCAAGATCAGTTCATTATTCCACAAGCCCCGTATTGATGGAATGGATCTGCCGGGTTTGGATCGCTCCAAACCTGTACAATGGGAATCAGCCGGTGTTGAAACTGCCATGGTGCAGGCAGGATCTCACTGGGAGACAAGGGTGCAAATTCCAACGAGGCAGATACCGAACCCACACTTGGGATTGCCATGGTCAATTCTCCCCTCAGGCCCCTTATGCCCCCCCATACTATGTTGATCCTGACTAATGCCATTTCCGCCCTCATACAAACAACATTCTTCCAGCTAACAAAGAAAAGCCATAATTTCACTGAGGGAAAGGTGAGAAAAGCCCCAACCAAATGCCAATCAATTTGAGAGAAATAAATTCCTTTCTGGTCCTTTCAACCAATGACCCAGAATTGCTATGTGAAGGCTCTAACCCGAGGGCAGGCAGGTGAGAAGCTCTCAAAGCAAAATGGCTGTGAGCTTCAGGGGAAGCAGCCTTATATAGGCTTTCCCCTCCCCTCTTCAGCAAGGACTCATGAGGTAGCTTTTTCACACGAGCCCATCACACAGAGAAGATACTGGGCAAAACCTGGCCACAGCCCCACTCAGCAAAGGGTCCCATGCTTATTGGGCATGGAATGGGGCTTATGTCTGCTTGACAAAGGAAAGGGTGTTTTGGAAACCTGGGAGATGAAGGTTGTGGCCCTACAATTAGACAAAGTGAGACAACCACCTCAAAGGGAAGATGATGAGAGAAGGCAGCGCTCATTCTTCCTGAGACTCACCTGGGATGTTCCCAACTTCCTAAAGTCAGTGCCCTAGTGATGGTGCTTGCTCAATGCTGGTCTGAGTTGACTGGCTTTTCCAGTCAGTTACCCTCTCTGATTGTGTCAAAGATAGGACCTTCAGGAAAAGGCAGCCAACGTAGTCCACATGGTTCAGCAGGAAAGCACTGCTCTTAATATGTGATGCGTGCTGATGCCATCACTTCTGCATTTGTTGGAGTGGACAGTGAGCATGTACCAGGTATAGAAGTAAGATAGTGGCAGCAAAGTGTTGAAGGGCAGAGGTGTGTATTCCATGTGTCCTGTCCTGCACTTCCTAAGCTAACCAGCAGACAATGCTGACCCAGTGTTTTGAAGTAAGATTCAGTTGCTAGTCTGGTTGGCTTCTGTACATGGGGGTGTCTAGGCTGCAAACTATATTGGGCTGGCCCCGCAAGCATTATGTAGATTTCTCTAAAGCCCAAAGAAGAACAAGGAAGGAAGAAGAAGATGGGGAAGTGCTATAGGAATGAATAACTCATTCTAGAACAAAAAAAATCCTTCCAGTAGCACCTTAAAGACCAACTAAGTTAGTTCTTGGTATGAGCTTTCGTGTGCAAGCACACTTCTTCAGATACACAGAAAAGCTCATACCAAGAACTAACTTAGTTGGTCTTTAAGGTGCTACTGGAAGGAATTTTTTTGTTTTGACTATGGCAGACCAACACGGCTACCTATCTGTAACTCATTCTAGAACAAATGACTATTCACAACAGCCCAGACTAATTTGGCAAGGCATCTTCAGCATCACACTAAAAAGTATATGTGAAACTTAGGGGAGTTAAGTCCCAGAGGTAATAGCAAATAATAAATACTATGAGAGGCTCCTCAAGATAGCAGACAATCATGTCCAACAAGCTGGTGCTTCATTTCACAGGGTAAGCTGGCAATTAATCACTTCTGAGTATGGTATTTAGGGGCCAATGGTTAGCAATCACAAGCATTTTTATTACTAGTGTTAATCACCAATATAGAGACAAACAACATGGTAGCTGCTGTTGGGAAAATAGATGTAATATCTGCCTGGAGGGCTGGATTTCTACATTGGATAGATAAGGGAGGGTTGATGGGAGACATCAGGAATTGACAATGCACGGCAGGGAGCAGCAGCAGAAAGTAAATTGATGGTAGAGGAGACAACTAAAGATGATTTATGGAAAAGGAGCATCTTGAGGGGCAACCTGGGAGGAGGATCCATCTCTAAATGCACCCATTTCAGTTATGGAAATAGAGCTGGCTATTAATCAAGCAAAAACAGGTAAACCATCGGGTCCTGATGGGCTCACCGCCTCTTGCTAGAGAACATTTCGAGATCTTCTAACAATACCACTGAAAGATACAATGAATGGAGTACGAGAAAGACACAGCACTTGAAAATTGCACCCTAGCCTAAGTCATTAATTACCTTCCTACTGAACAGCCCACACCACGCCCCATAATCATCTTATGGAAAATGTTTAATAGCTTGACCATGATTCCATAAGAAATTGACATTTTACCATTGATGTTTTTTTCCCCTCCTGAGGTTAACTATAATTTTATTACTATCTATTCTTAGTAGAATTTTCAGATTTTCAGGTTACATCTTTGCCTCCTTTGCCAGGAATGAAGAAATGAGGTATGAATTGGGGTGAATAAAACATGCAGTTAAAAGAAACACCCTAACACCCCTCAGTGTGGGTTCCTGAGAGTTGGGAGAATAAGCCTACCAAATTATAACTGGCATGGGCAATTCCATCCCTGCTCTGAGCACTAGAACAGTCTCCCCTTGCCTGTTCACCTTAAAGGTAATCAGCCACAGATGGAATTTTTTGACAGACAGAATCCTAGAGTAGCTTCATTTCTGTAGCACCTTATGCAAGACAGTTGTGAGAAGTCGATTGGATAAGCATCTCTTCACCATAAGGATGCCTCAATTTGACTCCCTCCTGATCCATCTTACACCTGCATCTGTGTAAGATGTTTCACCAAGTTGGCCCAATTACTAGATCCCTCCCTCAACTTATCCCTCTACTACTACTGCATGAAATAGATATGGAGGGCCAGTGCTCTCAGTTTGCCAATTCTGAGGGTACCCATCCCAATACAAATTCTACTTAACTCCTTAAATAGGGACTGGCTACTCCCATGCTCTAAATACATAAATATATATACAGTAAAGGTAAAGGTAAAGGGACCCCTGACCATTAGGTCTAGTCGTGGAGGGCTCTGGGGTTGCGGTGCTCATCCCGTTTTACTGGCCGAGGGAGCCAGGGTACAGCTTCTGGGTCATGTGGCCAGCATGACTAAGCTGCTTTCTGGCGAACCAGGAGCAGCGCACGGAAACACCATTTATCTTCCCGCTGGAGTGGTACCTATTTATCTACTTGCACTTTGTGCTTTTGAACTGCTAGGTTGGCAGGAGCTGGGACCAAGCAATGGCAGCTCACCCTGTCATGGGGATTTGAAATGCCGAGCTTCTGATCAGCAAGCCCTAGGCTCTGTGGTTTAGACCACAGCGCCACCCGCATCCCATATATACAGTATATAATTATGGAAATGCACTGAGGAGGGTTAGGCTTTTAAGCCTGTCCACATTCCTCCTTTGACTGGCAGATGCGTCCCACCAGCTATGGGTCACCAAAACAGATGTGGGTGAGGGAATCACCCTTCACCTGAAACAAGGGCAGAAGTGCAGCATTCCATTCACTCTTCCATTCTTTGTATTTTGATACCCTTTGATTTAGAACTCTGGAAGCACATGAAGTCTTCGTCCAAAGTCACCTGCCGAAATGGTATTTTGTTTTGTTTGCCACACAAAGGGAACTGATCTGAGAAAATAAAAGATTTTGCTAACCATTGTTTCTCGTCCCACACAGGTAACTTGTATATGAGGAAATGTCTCTGGAGAATCACACCACAATCACTGAATTCATTTTTCTAGGAGTCACAAACCGAACAGACCTGCAATTGCCCCTCTTTATCCTGTTCCTTATTGTCTATATTGCCACCATAGTAGAAAATCTGGGCATGATCTTTCTGATAAGGAGTGACTCACAGCTTCACACTCCCATGTATTTCTTCCTCAGCCACTTGGCTTTTGTGGATCTCTGTTATTCTTCCACCATCACCCCCAAAATGTTGGTAGATCTCTTGTCAGAGAGAAAGAGCATTGGGGTTTCAGGCTGTGCAACCCAGATGTTTCTCTTTGTTGTATTTGGGATTACTGAGTGCCTCCTGCTAGCTGGAATGGCCTATGACCGTTATGCGGCAATCTGCAACCCCTTGCTCTATTCAGTTATTATGTCTGAGGAAAGGTGTGCCTGGCTCGTTGCTTGTTCATATGGAGTTGGACTGTTCCATTCAATTACCCACACCACATTCACTTTTACTTTGTCCTTCTGCAGAGCAAATAAAATAAATCATTTCTTCTGTGATATTCCTCCACTTCTCCAGCTTTCTTGCTCTGATACCCACATATATGAGATGGTGATCTTTGCTTTGGTTAGTGTAAATTGTGTGACCACCACAATGACCATTGGTATTTCCTATATTTGCATACTCGTTACGGTTTTGAAGATACGCTCCCCAGAGGGCAGACACAAAACCTTTTCCACCTGCACCTCCCACTTGATGGTTGTTACACTGTTCTATGGGACAATTTTCTTCATGTATCTCCGACCCAGCTCTGCATACAGCCTGGATCAAGACAAGGTCGCCTCCGTGTTCTACACAGTGATGATCCCTATGTTGAACCCCTTGATCTATGCCCTGAGGAACAAGGAGGTTAAATGTGCCCTCCAACGAGCGATTGAGAGGATGTTATCACTGTGAAATGAAATAGCAGAACAGCTGGAACAAAGTACAAGAAAAGAACCTTGCAATACAACTTGATCACTGTTATCATCGATCTGTTCTCCATGGTTGTTTGTTGTGAGTCCTAGCAGGGAATGAATTTGGAGCGACAATAACCATGGCTTCATGCTTTTGTACATGTGAAGGACAATTGAAAAGCCTATTGCCTTTATATAAAAATTCTCATTCCTCAGGGGTTACTGGAATGAAAACTTTATGATGAAATTGAGAGAAGGCTATTGCAGTGCTAGGAAATGTAGAAACATACAGTGACATTCATAGTGATAAGAGCTCTATATAGATCAAAGGTGCAACCCAATCAGTTTCTGTGCTAAGAATGCCTTTCTCAGGATGAAGCAAATAATAATAATAATAATAATAATAATAATAATAATAATAATAATAATAATAATAATAATAATTTATTTGTACCCCTCCCATCTGGCTGGATTTTCCCCAGCCACTCTGGGCGGCTTCCTCCAAAGATTAAAAATACATTAAAATGTCACACATTAAAAACTTCGCTGAACAGGGAACAATAACTGCTATTCTAGCACAATGTTACAAAGCTCAGTATTGTGTAGGTGACATGGGCCAGAATGTTGCACAACGTGAGGATATTACTGAATTGGCACCTGCCACAATTTATTTATATATTTTTATCCCTTCCTCCCTGCAATGTAGCTAATATGGATTTCACAGCTTTACCTCAGTTTTTCCAACAAGGTGCGTTAGGCAGAGAGAGGGTGAGAAACCCAAATTCAAGCCTGAATATGAATTTGAACGTATGACACCTGGTGACATATATGGTCCTATGTACAATAAGGGACGTGGGTAGTGCTGTGGTCTAAACCACTGAGCCTCTGGAGTTTGCAGATCAGAAGGTCAGCAGTTTGAATCCCCGCGATGGGCTGAGCTCCCATTGCTTTGTCCCAGCTTCTGCCAACCTAGCAGTTCGAAAGCACACCAGTCCAGCATTTTGTTCTCACAGTGCCCAACTAGATGTCCAAGCAAAGTCCGAAAGCAGAGCACAGGCACTCTACCCACAAGTGAATCCCAGCAACCAGAATTCAAATCCATATAAACAATGACAATTGAGATAGAATACAGACAACATGAGCTGCAGTCATTGATAGATCTGCCCTCCATTAATTTTGCCTTTTAAAGCCATCCAAGTTAGTAGCCATCACTACTTATTGTGGGAACAAATTCCAGATTATAACTATGGGCTGTATGAAGAAGTATGATCTTTTATCTGTCATGAATTTTCCAATATTCAGTTTCATGGGTTGGCCATCTGCTCTAATGTTATTCGAGTGGGAGAAAAACTTTTCTTTGTCCACTTTCTCTCCATGCATCATCCCATGGCTTCTGACAAAATTAACTGGAATCTTACTAAAAACATGTTTCTTTAAATTGTAAAGATTTTAGTAAAAACATCCGGAAACTGCACTAGCCACAGTACTTGTTATATTGACACCTGAATTTCCAAAGCTCTTTGCTTTGTCTGAATCTATACAAACCTCTGCCCCACCGGAACACCCTCCTAGTGCTTTGCCCCAGTGGGAGGTATCTGCTAATGGAGGAGAAGGGGGCCATTTTGACAATTCCCCCACCCACTGCTGCCCCAAATGTCCCTTGAAAATCTAAGCTGGAGGGTGGGGGAACAACCTACCCAGTCCCTGAGATCACTTTCTGAGGCTCTCCTAAGTGTGCCTCCTCCACCAGAGGTTTGGAGGGTGGTAATATAAGAAGAGGCCTTCTCTGCGGTGGCTCCCTGTTTGTGAAATGCTCTCCCCAGGGAGATTCAGCTGGCGCCTTCATTATACATCTTTAAGTGCCAGGCAAAAAGGTTCCTCTTCAACCAGACTTTTGGCTGATTAATTTCTATGGACCTTTAAGCATGTCTTGTGGTAGGGTGGGTGTTGGTGGTTATTGTTTTGTTATTGTTATTATTTTTATTATATACTTTGTTGTTTTATTCTGTGGTTGTTATGCTATGAACTGCCCTGAGATGATGGTGGTGGTGGTGGTGGTGGTGGTGGTGGTGATATTTCACTCTTTCTCTCTCTGGAATTCTGCTCGACAGCACCATTTCACCTCATTTTCCATTAAGAGGTAAAAAATAATAATTAGCTCCCTGTTGGTCGTTTGAGTTTCTATGAGACTTCAAGAGGGATTAAAGTCTGAAAACGTCATGTGTGAGGAAGCTCAATATCCTGTCAACTGTTTATCTTACAGCAGCCAAACAAAAGTGCTCCATAATAAATTGCAAGGTAGTCTCTTGCAAATTCAGATCAGAATAGACATTCTATTTATGCTAAGAATTCTGAAAGAACGGGACTGCTGAGAGAATAACATCTGGAGGAAAAGTAATGTTAGGAACCAAGTGTCACTGGAAAGATTGGTGAAGAAAGAAAATGGAACAGAGCTTCTTATGGTGCCCATATAGTACCAACAATCAGGGGGTTGGCAATTAGATTAAGGGAACATTTGTAGCTTATTTTAGAGCTGAGGAGAGAAAACATTATTGCAAATTATCAGATCGCTGTGATTCAACATATCTAGTTCACTTTAATATTGTTTTATATCTTACATGAACTTGCTGATCTATCTGCCTCAAGCACTCTCTCTCTCTCTCTCTCTCTCTGACTGCAACAGAGTACCACAGCTGTTTATGCAGAAGCTGTGCAGAGCTTATTTCCAAAGGTATGTAAAAGTATGCAAAAGTGCACTTTATGCTATGCTTTCTTGTGTTGGTGTAGATAGAAGTATGTGAAATGAAGGAAATGATTTGCATGAATTCTTTGACCGTTCATAGCACAGGAGTAAATATCTCCTGAGTAGATGCAGTGATAATCCAATTTCTGTTAAAGTAATGCAAGCTCATAGTCATCCCTGCCACTGCTGGCAAAGAATTCCATACATTGGTTGTAAAATATTGTTTTACCTGTGCTATGCTTTGGTGTTTTTTCAGATCTGGACATTTCACCTGGGTGCAATGTCTGAAGAAAACTCCACAACAGTGGTCAGTGAGTTTGTCTTTGTAGGATTAACAAACAACCCTACACTACGAACTAGTCTCTTTTTGGTGTTCCTGGTTATTTATATGATCACCTTGGTTGAAAATCTAGGAATGATTGCCTTAATAAGGGCCAGTCCCCGGCTCCACACTCCAATGTACTTCTTTCTCAGCAACCTTTCTTTCCTGGACGTATGCTTCTCTTCTGTGTTTGCTCCAGAGGCATTAGTAAACTTCCTAGCAGAGAAAAGTTCCATTTCCTTTATTGGGTGTGCAATGCAAATGTACTTTTTTATAGGTCTGGGGAGTACGGAGTGCTTTCTCTTGGCTGCAATGGCATATGATCGCTATGTGGCTATCTGCAAACCCTTGCTGTACCCAGTCTTCATGTCTCCTAGAGTCTGCATTCTTCTGGTGTTGGGGTCTTATGCTCTTGGCTTTTTGCACTCTCTCCTTCATACAGTCTTCACCTTCAGGCTGTCGTTCTGCAGGTCTAACGTGATCAATAACTTTTTCTGTGACATCACAGCACTTTTGGCCATTTCCTGTTCAGATATCCACCTCAATGAACTCCTGATTTTCTATGAAGCTGGTCTTGTAGAAATAACCACCATCCTGAGTGTTGTAGTTTCTTATACATATATTCTTAGCAACATTGTGGTGAGGATCAGTTCGGTCGCAGGCAGGCTTAAAGCCTTCTCCACCTGCACCTCGCACCTCATCGTGGTTACCATTTTCCACGGGGCAATTCTCATTCTGCATTTCCGACCAACCTCTAGCAGTGAATCTTTGGTTCAAGGCGTCTTTGACAAAACACTGACTGTGTTCTATACAGTTGTCATCCCTTTGCTCAACCCTTTGATTTATAGCCTCAGAAACAAGGAGGTAAAGGATGCTTTGGGAAGCTTTCAGCGGAAGGTGTGTGACAAAATGTTTTGTTCATTAACCTTATAAACGAAAATGGGCATGGCATTATTAATGTATGTAATGTATTACAGTTCTTTCCAGACTGTAAAGTCTGGAAAGAAAGAAGGATGCACCAAATTCCCTCTGGCCTCTATGTGCTGATTTGGTGAGGAATGTAATGTTTCCCTTAAACTATGTCCATATTAATCCAAGCTGAATGAAGGGAACATTCTATGCTATGAATGATATATGGTGTATCCCCTAACATGGAGTTTGACCACTGTTTTAACTATTCTCTTTTGTATGATTAACATAGTGCTTAATAGTGCATTGTATCCCCACCTCCTTAAGTCAGAGATGGGGAGTTGCTGTAGCCCTCTTGGTGTCGTTGGGTTCCAATTCCCATCAGACTCATGATCAGGCAAGATGGGAGTTATAGTCCAGCAATGTCTGAAGAATCACAGGTTCATCACTCCTGCCTCATAGGGAGTATGAGAAGTGCTCCTGTTCAGTCAGCTTGGAACAGTAACCTCCTTGGAACAGGAGGGTTTGCATTTGACTGAGTTATCCGTCCATCCATCTTGCCCACCTGCTGCCTGCCAACATCATTCCATTGGCACAGAGGACCCTTTTCTATCCACCAAATGTATGGCCAGATAGAAGTATCACCAATGGGATTGCTGCGAGTGGTGGCCAGTGGAAAGTCTTGAAAGGGATCCCTTCCCAGTGCTACTACCATCGTATGAAAACATTGCGCCTGATTCAGTTCCAAGCGGGTGCAACAGTCTTCTTGCTCCCAACTCCTGTCCTACCTGAGATGTACAGCAGGGCTGTGGATGTGACAAAGAACTCTCACAGAGAGAGAAGCAGAGGGAGAGGGAGCTGCTGTCTGCCAGCCACCTCAAAAAGTATCTGAGATGCCATTGCACTGCCTGCAGAAAGTTTAAGAAGGCTTTCCCTGATGTGTGCCTCAGTCATTCTCTACAGTCTCTATAACTGTAGATATGATTTTATTGCTTTTAGCTCATTGAGTTTGTTTCTTTTATATTTT